AACGTGCATTAGGCTGCCCTAACATGCAGTACTGCAAGTGTGCACTTTAAAGACGTGTAATGCGTAGCAGCCTATTTTACTGCGATTAGCATGGTGGGTTTTTTTTACATAACATTTTCATGAACAGTAAAAAGGGCTACTGTGTTTTAAGACACACATGTAGACGTACCCATCGAGTGCCTAATTTTTGACCTACGGAAAAGAGGTCCCCCTAGTTTGACTGGCACAGCCCGTGGGGGGAAGGGGGTTGTTTTCCTTTAGCATGGGGCACAGTCCTTTACCTAGGATCTGCAGGGCACATACATAAGCTTACTTCCTATTATTGCAAGGACAGTGAGGACACTGCCAATGTTTTAATCCGTAGCATTTCACAGGCTGCTTTTGGCATCTCAGATTTTGTTCCTTTGCTTGTAGGCAACCAAGTGAAGGGAGAAATTTGGGAAGTTCCTTTAGTTAAAGGAGAACCTACAAATGCAGGGTACCAGATGCAATAGGACTGGCAGGAACCTCCCAAGCTATGTTCCTAGTCCTCTAACTTTAGAGTGAGGCACAGCACAAGATAAAGGCACCAGCAAGCCATTCAAGTGAGGCAGACATCTCCAGATGCCAACACATACAATTCTAGGCAGCAAGATAAAAAAGCTGTACTGTAAGAAACAAGCATTTTTATGCCCTGCTCACTTTTCCTGCCTTGGGTATTAAGAAACCCAGTACACAACCTGTGCCAGAACACCTGTCCAAGAATGTTAGCTGAGGAACACCAACAGACAAGAGGAAGAACCTACTGTTAAAGCACACAGGAAATATACTCCACCTACCAGGAGTGCATGTTGCCTTGGATTCAAGCTGATTAAGGCTTGAATGCTTAGAACCTTAGGGATTTAAGATCAAGGCATGAGGGGAGGAAAGGTGGGAAGAGGGAAGAAATCAATACTTAAAAGCCCTAGATAGCTTTAATATACCAGCACTTTCAAAGCTGGTCGACCACCTTCAATACATCTGTAGAAGATCTTCTTCCCAAAATCCTTCGTTACTAAACATCTCAGTAACCCCAACACTGAACTACAAAATGAGAGACAAGAAATAACTCTCAAGATTGATACCATTAATTCACAGGAGCTAATTTCTCTTCCTCCAAGTTGTGATCCATTTCTGAGATGGCTGTGCACCATGAAGACAAGACCTCTCATCACTGAGACCTATTAATACTAGTGTATTAAGGCCCAAGAGATTAAGGAGAACTTCTGACCTCAAACAATCCCACAAACAAAGGAAAGAGCTACAAGCACCAGGCACTGCAGGAAAAAGGGAGACCAGCCACTAAGCAGGAGAGCTGGAGGTAGTCATGTAGTTTTGTGACCAACTAAGGACAAAGAAAGCAACTAACTAGAGTGTTCTTGGGCCTGAGGTACTTTAAAAGGGAAAGCATGAGCTCAGGAAGACACAGCCCTCAAGCCAAACAGTTGCTCCCTCAGAGGAAGAATAATTTTTAGAGCTAGGGAGTCTTACCATGCAATTCATGATGAAAGAAAGCATAAGACTCTACACTAACTGTAGTCCTATACTGACACCTTTACAGAATAGAGTGTATTACTGTTTCTACTTGTTTATTTGCTTAGGTCTAGCAAGTTCAGGATAGATACTGGATCCTTCATACAGCATCAGAAATGCAAACTTCAGAGAAAATAGTGAGCAAAGCTACAAACACTGACAAAGTTAGGAACAAATGTATCACAAGATTTCTTTTAAGAAGGAGGAGCGTAGCTACTTTCAGTTTTAAAACTGAAAGTAGCTACAACTAGACTAACGTAAGGAAAAAAAAAACCCCCACAAACCAGTGTAGCTCCTGTCCAGGAACTCCAAGAGCAGGTTATTAACTGGATGAACTGACTACAGAATCAAGCTAACTTTGGTTCACCATGATGTGTTTTAAAGTCACTTTCAGGACATATTCCAGTATGACAAAAAACACTCAAGAGTTGAGCACTGTTTCACCAACAGACAGAAAGATTCAGAAAGTAGAGAGCAGGATGACAAATCAATGTTAAACAAAGGGCACAACGGATTGACCATGTATGTTTTAAGTACTAAAAAACAAACAAAAAAAAAAAACAACCAACCAAGCCCAGCTAACCCAGGCTGATGACAGACATGCCAACAGATCTTCAAGTCAATCTGACTCGCTGAAACACAAGACACTTGTGGCCAAGTAATGACATGCCTTCATCCATACAGCACTTTGCATTTGTTTGTGTGCTACTGTTTCACTGCCCAATTTCACATTTAGGAAGTCAGACTTGGGAGGAGGGAGGGGAATAAGGAAGAAAGGAAGCTTTTCAAGGATCAGGGATGTAGCACCACTCAACAGTTTTAAGGACATAAGTTTTGGCGGGGAGGTGGGCAGTGTTCGTGCTTCCCAGGGCCATGGAGGTCCTAAGATGAGACCTGTTGCAGGGACCCAGGAGCAGGTCACACTGGGAAAAACAACAACAACAAAAAAAACAACCAACCCTCCAAAAAAAACAAAATGAAACAAAACAAAACAACCCCTGTAGCTTAGCAGCCAGCCGCACTTACCATCCTCAAAGGGAGTCCCCTCCGGCCTGGAAGAGAAGAGGGAAGGGGTGAGTCCGGAGGAAGGGTGAGCAGCGCAGGGGTGCCCCCCGCCCGCAGGGGGGCGCTTGGCCACGCATGCGCACTCACCCGAAGATGACGGCGTTCCACACCATGATGTTGTTTTCCGAAGGGGCGCCGCTCACGCCGGCCGGGGGGTCCTCCTGCAGCCTGCGGGCACGGGCTCGTCAGCGTAGCCAAGCTCCGCCCCCCGGGCCGGCCGCAGTTGGCGTAGCCCGCGGGAGTCACCCCCAGCAGTCAGCATAACCCCAGCCCCCCTCCCCGCGCAAACGGCGTGGCCTAACGCTACGCAATCGGCGCAGCGCCACCGCTCCTGCCGCCATGTTGTCCGGCCCCCTCCTCTCCCGGCCTCCCTCCGCCGCTGGCCTCGTTACCTCTTGAAGTCCCGCATGAGGCGCCTCCGGGCCGGCGTGGACATGGCGGGCTCAGGGGGACGAATCGCTCATACACTAGCCCCGGGAGCGAGGAAGCGGGCGCCTAGGGACACCACGACGACAGCGGCGACGGCAGCTGGCTCTGACTGAGGCGGCGGCGGCGGCGGCGGCGGCGGGGGCTGCCGAGCGATACTGGGTCGTACCACTGCGCCGGCTCGCGGGGGGGAGGCCGAGGCGGCACCTAACTCCTCCCGGGCGATCCCGGGCTGTACCACTGCCGCGGAGAGGAGGAACCGCATGCGAGTGAACCCGACCGGACCCTACCACCACGGCGGCGAAGCGGGAGGCGGTGCCTAAAGGAATCCGGGATGTACCAAGTGCCGCGGCGGAGGAGAGGCAGCAGGAAGTGAGACGGCACCACTGACGTCAGCGGAGAGGGCGTGTTTTTGTCATTGTTCCCGCCCGGGGCGGGGCTGGGGGCGTGGTCTCGTCACCTGCTGCCGCAGGTGAGGGCAGGACAAGGGCGCTCAGTGTCTTTAGGGCGGGAGCAAGGCTGGAGGGCAGCTTCACCCCATGAGTGACGGG